TCGCAAACAATTTGCAAAAAATCTGTATTGATCTTTCTCTATCAATATATATTTTTAAATACGAAAGTTTTCTGTGTTTGTATTCATCCCCTCCTTTTACAAACTGTTCGTCTAAAACTCTTGTAGACCCGGCTGGGACCAACAAAGGTTACTTCCATCTCTTTTATTCATCTCATAGAAGCTATTGGATCATTGTGCCCTTGGAATTCAGGAGGCTTGCATGTCGTGGAAGTTTTATAGCTACATCTGATTCCTCTTAGATTGCCAACATTTTCTCCAGTTTCTTCATTGGGGTTTTGGTTCCCTATTTTTCCTACTCCCATTACCTGTACTTGAGCCAAGATTCAGGGTAAAGCAGCCTAAAGGCCCCTTGCTATCTCTTCAACTAATTATGCCCTTATAATGGGCTCTGCATTTTGGCCTTGGCCTTGGCCTCTTCCCCTTCCTCACCCCATTGTTGAGATTCCTTGCACTGATGGGATGGGCGCTTCAACTCTCTGCCTCCTACCTCGACCCCTAACACAATCTCGATTAGTTGTTGCATTTAGTTGTACCAGGCGGTGTAGTTGATCATTAGGGTTTGGTTCCACTTCTTCAGAGGCCATCACCTGAGTGCATCTTGACATTCTACTGCAATAATTACATGTCATACTTTATAACTTCCAAGAATGTAAACTAATCATTTCTATCATACCAAACAATTATTTGCTACAACTTATAGAAATATCACGCCAGCAACCAATCATGCAAAAAAAAAAATAGATCGCAAACTTCTATTAAATCATCTAAAGTCAATCATCCAACTAATCCTATAATAATACCGAAAAACTGAAACAACTAAAAGAATCCATCAAAACTAATAATTAACTAAAAACTACTCTCTATCTACTACTAGGGCTGCAAACGAACCGAATGAACACGAACAGAGGCTTGTTCATGTTCGTTCGTTTAATTTAACTGAAACAAACGAACAAACATGAATGGTAAATGAACGAAAATCTTTGTGTTCGTGTTCGTTCGTTTAGAAATATAGTGTGTTCGTGTTCGTTTATGTTCGTTCGTTAACTTGCTAAACAAACGTAAATGAACGTAAACGAACGAACATAAACGAACGGGTTAAACAAACATAAACGAACGGACTAAACGAACATAAATAAATATTATTTGAATTCAAAGTAAATAAATAAAAGATTATACATTAAATTTAATATTAAACGAACATAAATAAATATTATNTTCAAAGTAAATAAATAAAAGATTATACATTAAATTTAATATTAAACGAACATAAATAAATATTATTTGAATTCAAAGTAAATAAATAAAAGATTGTATATTAAATTTAATACATAAACAAACGAACGTAAACGAACGAACGTTCACGAACATAGATGAACGAACGAGACACTTGTTCATGTTCATTCGTTTAACTAAACGAACAAAAAAATTGTTCATGTTCGTTCATTTATTAAATGAAGGAACATAAACGAACTTCCCGCCGAACGGTTCACGAACAGTTCGCTGAACGTTCGGTTCGTTTACAACCTTATCTACTACGGCTCCTTCGATGGAAGTGTCGGACACTCAACCATTCTTTAAATGGTTGAGTCTTACCACTCTTTCAAAAACTCAGCAACCAACCCATAGTACTTTTGGGGTACACCTTGATGTAAAATCCACCTATCTGCTATCTTGCTCTTCCATGATCTTGTCGCCAGATGTTGGGTTCTCTCTGTTTGCTCAGAACCTTTAATGACCTCGACAACGTGACCTTTTAATATCTTGATCCTTTTCATGAAGAGCCTGATTTCCTATGTCGGTACTAGGAGCTAGTGAGGCTGGATGTAGCTACTGAAGGCTCTGACCCCACGACTTTCGGCTCCTGTTGGAACTGGGTTCTAACTAGGATCCTTGTCTTCTGTAGGCTTGGTCTCTTCATCACTCAGTCTGTTTACTGGAACTATGCTCGTGCTTGGGCTTCGGTCACGCCTAGGGTTTGTCTCGTTATGAGTACTAGCACTTCAACACCTTCAATCACTGGAACGTGGCATTAGACGCTTACTTTTGGACAGAGTTCTCCTTGGTCCTAGGACCACACCGACCCTTTTTCCCATGCCTATGCAAGCAACTCCTACGTATATTGATAACAAGTATCATTTTCCTACAAGAGGCGAAGATGCTACGTTACTTACAAGATAATCATCAATATTGATATCTTATTAAGCGCATATATAGTCTACTTCCCCATATTTTACAAGTCTCCCAAAAATCTACACGGTTTAAGCCTAGACTACTTATTTTAACCTAATTCCCTTAAACCTTTGGCTCTGTTACCAACTTGTCACACCCCAAAATCTCAGATTCTAACTACTAACAATAATGACAAAAACGTTCAGAGGTCTTTAAATTCAATCAAACAATTCAACAGCGGAAGCTTAAGATAAAGTTTTAAACCACCATAAACACAAAAGTATTAAATTGCAAACTTAAGATCTTACAATTATGGAGCCGCCACGGATCTTCCTAGACTTTCTCCTTGCCTATTAAGCTATCGCTAAAACACCCCTGAGAGATGCATACTATAAAGTCATCTTTTTCGCCTAGTGAGTTCACGGTTTTTCTTTACATGCTCAACATAAATAATCCATATAAGAAAACATGCTTAATCATAGTGACAATTACAAGATATAGCTTCAAACTTGCAACTTTAAAAATATTATAAATCAGATTTTCCTGTCGTGCATGTGAATATTTCATCACTATGCTATCAACCTTGCACCAAGTATGCCTTTTATATGGATGTTATCTTTCCAATGCATCTGGCATTTACTATACCGGTATAATTTTACCGGTAATAACATGTCTTTTTTCATCGAAAACCGACCCATTATTCATAATACCAAAGAAGTCATACTTTTCGTCATATCTTACATAATAATATTTAATGTAACACTTTGAATAAATCTTTCAAAAAGCATCTTATAAAAAACAATAAAACCTACTTTTGAACAATAAACTTTGCAATATATAATCTACTATGAACTCACCTGCGTTTGTGTTGGCTCTCTTTACTTCTTCTAATTCACACCTACACAATCATAAAGCCTACTAAGGATTTTGCCATCGAACTACTTTGAGTCAAAGCGACTCTTCTAACACGACCTTTTTACTCGATTGGCCACTTTTGAGTCTACTCAACCTTGAGACGCTCTCTACGAGTCTTTTAATTTAGGTACAAAAACTTAACTTCTTAATAAATAAACTTCTATGGAACTTGATGCTCTTTTAAACACTAAAACGAATGAGTAATTTTACAACTCTAATACCATAAAGGGGTATTTTAAAATGTACTCGAGTCCTTAACTACAAAAAATGCTTAAATTAATGTGATATCTCTAGCACAAATTAATAGCCCATGTTAGTAGCCTAAGGGGTCGTTTACCCAAATGCTTACCCGATAAGTGTTTACCGATGGGATTCAACATTATAATTTATTTTTATACATAAGATTTTAATACATCAAAACATATCGAATGCAACAAGTTACTGGGTAAGTGCTTACCTGGGTAAGAGTCGCCATCCTTACTTACCGGGTAAGACTCTCTATCCTTTTCATTACTCTTACCCGGTAAGATTTTTGGCCCTTCTCACGTTCATCCGATAAGGAAATTTATCCGGTAAACACTTACCAAATAAGTGTTTAGTGAACGGCTCCAAAGTAAACTCCATAGCTCTTTTAAATTTCTTATTTTTATAGATAAAATAATTTAAACAAAGGTTGCCATAAGTTACCCGTACGATGTTGCGGTGTACATCACGATTTAAAGCTGAGAACATATAAAGTCAATAATGTTTCATTTTTGTCTCTTTTTTGTCCATCCCGATGCTAGTGGTATACCTATAGCTTCCTCACTTTTGTTAATACATTAGGTATATTTTGGTGATTTTTCCTTTAAAAAATAGTTTAGGGACTTAATCTATACTACCTTATAAACCAGATTTATCAAAAGTCTTAAAAACAATTTTTAATGCACAAAATACTATAAATTTATGCACAAAGTCTTAAAAGTCTTAAAAACAACTCATAATGCATTAAGTACTGCTACTTTATGCATTTAGTCTTAAAATCTTTTAATCTACAATTAAAATAACATATAGTGCACATTATTACATTTTCTTTTCATGTTCACAGATACTTTTGATGCATTTCACTCATGTCTTCACCCTCTCATACCTCTATGTCTTCTCTCCATCCCCCAAGGTGAGATTCAAACTGATATTCACCATGAATTATTAAAAGTTCTCTCATTCATCTCCCGTTCAATTGCTCTAGAACTCTCGGTCTCACTCTCGATATCTTGATTCTTTGCTCTTAGTGTAAATCGAAGACATTTGTAGAGTCGTTTAAGTATATTGGATTGTAAACTGTCATACAATTTTTTTCGTCGATAAACTGTAATTGGAACCATAACTTTTATTCATTCAAATTGTATTAATATGTAAAGATCAAGTGTAACTTATATTATCGTTAAATATTCTTTAATAAAATCAGTGAAACTTCAAAATCGTTAAAATTCACGGCTACCATCACATTATGCGAATACACGACTAATCATTTAAAATAAGAAAGTATAATGATTTTTTCATTTAAAAATAATAATTTAAAAACTAAACCATGGAAATGAAAAAAATATGTTAGACTAACTCACCACATCCAAAAATTGAACGCTTATGTTTCAAGAATCACCATAACCCATCTGTTTCTGTCAATGGGCCCGATTTCAAGGTTCCAACCCTACAATTTCAGATTTGTGTAGCAGGAAACGTGCGTCTCAACTCTCAACCCATTACCCATCCTTCCAACTCTCAAGTCTCAACTACTCTTTCTTTCTTTTTTCCCTTTCTGAAGTTAGTCGGTGATTTTCCCCCTTTTTACCCTTCTGGGATCACCACCATCTGCCGTCTACTTTTGAGCTGTTTTATTCAATTATTACTGATCATGTGTTCATCTCCTTCGATTCCTCAACACATTCTTTAAATAATTTTGCTGTATTACCTGTAATTTGTAAATCATTAATAGCTTTTCCCTTCTGGGTCTTGTCCATGGATGAAACAGTTTGCTTTTCTTTCTAGTTTTCAGTTGTTGTCGTATTTACTAACATCCATTATTACTCCCAAAAAGCTTTGACTTCTTTTTCCAGCCATTGTCACTTTCAGTATCTTGCATTCCCATTAAATATTTGCTCTACATTCAGGTATCGGGGACCGATTTTAAGATTTCTCGTATTCGTATAAGAAATCAGGGATCTGGGATTTCGTTTAAATTTTCTTTTCTTCAACAGCGATTTGATGTGATGTGATGTGAATTGAACTCATCAACAAAAAATGGCTACCTTGGTCCCTGGAGTGTTATTGAAGTTGCTTCAGCATATGAACACGGATGTGAAGGTTGCTGGAGAACACAGATCATCTTTGTTGCAAGTTGTGAGCATTGTTCCTGCTTTAACTGGTGGTGAGCTCTTTCAAAATCAAGGGTTTTATCTCAAGGTATCAGATTCATCTCATGCCACATATGTATCTTTACCTGATGAAGATATTGATCTGATTCTAAGTGATAAGATCCAATTGGGTCAGTATATACATGTTGAGAGGCTTGAATCAGCCACTCCAGTCCCAATCTTGCATGGGGTTCGTCCTGTTCCTGGCCGACATCCATGTGTTGGAACCCCTGAAGATATAGTTGCAACCCATAATTTAGGGTTCCTCAATAACAATGGCAGTTCCACAAATTCATCATCTGGTTCTAAATTACCCTCCAAAAAGGATACTAGTTCCACACTAAGATCAAATAGTAGACTTAAAGAAGAGCTAGTGGATAGTAAGAAACCTGCAGGAACCTTGGGAAGATCTAAATCTCAATTGGCAAAATTGGTATTGAATACAACAGAATCAAGGCAATCTTTGTTAAAAGTCAAACCATCCAATTCGAGGTCAATTCCTTCGTCTCCCACGAGTTGTTACTCGCTGCCTACTTCTTTTGAGAAGTTTTCCAGTGGGATTAAGCATCAGTCAAAGATCAAAGGATTGGATAAGGAAATTGGTAAACTGAATTTGGGGGAAAAAGCAACTCCAGTTCGTGGCGCAAGTCCGAGTGCGAAGAAGTCTGGGATCGGAAGCTCAATAAAGAATTTTGTTCAGGGTATCGAGTTGGGGCCCAAGGCTCTAAGGAAGAGCTGGGAAGGTAATATGGATATCAAGACTCCAAGATTGAAAGTCACCAAGAATGATTCAAAGCCTGATGCCCGGAGTACATCTGTGAGTTATTCATTCACTCCAATCTGTTCGGCATTTCTATTTGAATACAACTAAGATTGGTTCCATTGATTTTTTCATATTCTCTTTGCCTATGATTGAGGAAATTAGATGATTAAAGTTGTTCCATGTTTACTATCTTTAATTGCTTATTTAACTTTCACCATGATAATGTCTCTAAACATATTTCAAGGAGTTACGGGGACATCTTTTTCTTCTGTTTTCCAATTGATTAGGGACTTGTGACTCACAATTGTGTTTAAATGAGGATCATTCGAAAAGTATGTAATTTCTTAGCTTCTTTAATTAGTATTTTTATATTCTTTTGAATAGCCTGTGCTGGCGTGTGGTATTCTTAAATGGCATCACAGAGGGAAAAAGGGGCATAATTTAGGTATGAGGGGTTTGAATTATCAATTTGCCTTGATCATTCTGACTTTTCCGACTCTTTATCTCTAAGGAAATAGTTTACACAAAATAGAGAGAAATCTGGTGGATCCCATTATTTAGATATGAAAACATTTTGATGAAGGAAATGTCACAATTTTTATGAGACATCCCAGAAAAGAAAGTTTAGCTATTCTCTTAGGTTGGAGGGAATATTTGTTTTCATTCCTGACCCCTTTGATGCAAATGATCCTTCAACACAGGTTCCAAGAAAATCTACAAGTGAAAGGATGCCATCTAGAGATGAGGATAATAGAGTACAATCGAATGTGAAGTCATCTAAAGAGGAAAGCAAGGTTCGGACACCTGCAAAGAGAGCTACGGCAGTTGGAGATTTAGTTGATCACGAGCATTCAAATAAGCAAAAACAATCATCCGGCAGGAAGTCATCGGCAGAGGCATTGACAAATGGTCTACCAGGAAACTTTGTCAAGGTCTCTCTTAGTAACAGGCGATTGACAGATGGAGGCGCTTCTTGGTCTTCACTCCCGTCTTCTCTTGCAAAGCTTGGAAAGGTACATTTTTCCCTTAATTTGTTTCTCAAGGGTATTTTAAGTTCCATTTTCTATTTTGAACTTTTTTGAAAACTTGTATTGATAGCTCAACTGGTAAGACTTTGACTTTGTTCCCATTGGTCATCGGTTCACGTCCATCAGGGCCACTGGACGTTTGTCTGGCTGTTAATTTCAGGGCCTTGTGGGATTAGTGGAGGTGTGTGCAAACTGGCATGGACACCCATAATTATCCAAAACAATAACTAACTTATTCCATGTCTTCTTATGGTTGTCGTGCTATGTTTTGTAGGAAGTCCTGAAGCATAGAGATGCTGCCCAAATTGCTGCCATAGAGGCGATGCAAGAGGCATCAGCTGCAGAAAGCTTACTTCAATGTATAAGGTACTATAGAAATATAAGGTTTTTAGTGCTCTGTTGCTAAACCATCCAGCCTCTCACATGTATATTCCTCAAATATACTGCTGCAACCTAAGAATTCTTAGTGTTCGTAAGCTTATATGATTAGTTTGTGACAGTAAACTGTAAATTTATCAATTGTAGTTACATTTGTTGGGCCATACAGTTGTTAAGATTAGAGTATAAGAAAAGATATTATTCATCCATAAGTTTTAGGAATGGAATCAGTATTTGGCAAACTTAATTGGTTGGCCTCGTTGGAGTTTATAGAGACTTGAGACGTCAGGTTCAGGTTCGAATCATATTAGATATTATCAACTCCTTAAAGGTAATGTTGCCCGAAGGTCCAAGGTTTGCCTAACCCATCTGAATGGGTGCTTTGTGTGGACAAGGTGCGCTAAAAGTGTCGGTTATCATCATGATTATTAAAAAAATTAGAATCAATATTTGGTATGTTAATAATGTGCATTTTTTAGATTTAAGGTGACCACACATAAATATGGTGGTAGTCTTCCCTCCCATGAAAATTATAGTGTTGCTTGCCACAATTAGTAAAGAGTTTTAATAGCTTAGTTGCCAAATATCTAAATACCATTTTTTATTACAACTGAAAACTAGAAAGAAACGCAAACTTAATTGTTTGTACTAATGCTAATAGGAAAAAACGTAATTTCAGCAACCAACTTTCCTAAAAAGGGAAGTGTCTGTTTGTGTGTTTGGAGCGAGCGGTAGACTTAATTGTTCCACTATAATTATATTCTCCTCACACCATGTATTTGAAAATGGCAAGGGTAGTGCACCTTTGCGAGCTTTCATGACTCAAACCCATAACCTTTTGGTCCCAAAGGATTAACCTTCCCTTTTGCTCCAAGGCTCCCACTAGAGGTTGTATGCCTCTTATATGAGCGGCCATGGATTAAAGTCTGTAAAAGTTTGGTTTACTTTTTGAAGATTTTGTCCATTTCATTTATTTGTGGCTAATTTGTCTAGGCGAAGGATCGTGTGAGAAGTAGAGTTAAAAGTGAGAAGCATAAGAAGGGATCTGGACCCTTGATCACCTTTAATCTCAAACACACCCATGAATCATGCTTGATACGGGGATTGATCTGGTGCACCCGGTGCATCTCGTCCTAATGTGCATCCAAGGGTGGAAATCTCTTCATATGCTTCTCACCTTAACTCTCCTCACTGGAACCGAACCCTTGTCTTATATATGCCAAAAGAAATCGTTCCTTGTCATATTTGGTCAAAAGCATCCTTCCCCTTCAAACTTCGTCTAGAGAGTACTTAAACCAAACCAAACAAGCTTAGTATGTCCCACCCAAAGGTGGGATTTGGGGGTGGAATGTCTGATCTCTATCCCAAAGAGTAGAGTGGCTATTTTCGTGAAGACCCAACTTGTGCTTCTGAATCATATCGGTCTAAAGAATACTTCTCAGATCTAAATCATAATGGTCATAGATTTTGATGTCCACATTGCTTGTAGTCGTTCCTTATTCGAAAATTTAGCTATGATACAGAGAAAGTGGCCACATTATGCTTGAATCACCCATTTCTATTTTTATAGGACACTTGTTTTTATAAGACATTTTTTCAAATAATGTTTTAATAAAAATATTAATAGGATGCTTTTTTTTCAACATTGTCCTAAACAATTTGTTAGTACGTCCAAAAATATCCTATTTACATAAGATGCACAATTGATTAGCCCCATAAACTTAAGTCCTATAAACCACTTCATTAGGACATTTAGACATATTTGGCTTCCTGTAAAGCCGATTTTGTTGTAATGACCCGCATCATAATTCTAAATGTCGTTATTTATTTTGGCAGCACGTATTCTGAGCTGCGCTCTTCCGCAAAAGAAGATAACCCGCAGCCTGCTGTGGAGCAATTCTTGGCATTGCATGCTAGTTTGAATAACGCTCATCGGATTTCTGAATCTTTATCCAAAACGACAACTCTATCATCAGATCATGAAGACAACCCATCAGAAGAACAATTGAAAGTTTCTTCAGAAAGGCATAAACAAGCAACTTCTTGGGTCCATGCTGCCATGGCTACCAACTTATCATCCTTCTCGGTCTATAGCAAACAAGCCAAGTTAACCTCTTTGATTTCACCATCTTCAACAACGGATCCATCCCCCAAGACTCTTCGGCCTGTCCTAGTACTTGAGGGGTCCACCACCAATTCTGCATCACCCAAAACCCAAGTCAAACCCCGGCAGTCTAAGATAGTCAACTCATCAACTCCACGAAGACAAACGGCTGGATTGGTTGTTCAGCAAAAGCCAAGAATCCAACCTCCACCAGAATGGGAAAGAGGTGGTGGTTTTGATGAGGCAGTCGACTTGGCGCAAAAGCTGAAAATGGAGTCTCAGGATTGGTTCTTGGGGTTCGTTGAAAGATTCTTGGATGCTGACGTGGACACCTCTAACACTCTATCAGACAACGGTCAGATTGCAGGCATGCTGAGTCAGCTAAAGAGCGTAAACGACTGGTTAGATGCAATCGGATGTGGCAAGGATGAAGAAGAAACTTCTTGTCATATATCCCCAGAAACTATTGAAAGGATAAGGAAGAAGATTTACGATTATCTGCTTACACATGTAGAATCTGCTGCAGCTGCACTTGGTAAACCCTAAACCATGATTTGAAGATGACTCATATATATATATTTTTTTGTATATAAAATTACTCAGCACAGCAGGTAGGTTGGGTTGGGTCGGGGGTGGGTATAGAAGATGCAGTGTTGACAAAATTTGATTATGAAGAAAGTTATTGAATTGGGAGTATTTTTTATGTTTGATTTGTTGTTTTTGTTTTGGAAAATTGTTAATTGAACACTACAGAAATTTGCGCAGAAATGATGCTTAAACTTGCAGGGAAATGAATATTTGGTTTAATTCAATGTACTGTTAATTTTTATGATGGTATTTGGATATTTGATCAATACGAACGAGGGCAGTGGGGTCATTGTGTACTGAATTCGCTTTTCACATAAGTGTTTTTAGAGCAGGATGTTGTGGGTCAGTTGAAAGAAACTTGCACAAGGTTGAAGAGGTTTGATTGGGATTTGGAATGAAGAACCTGATTTTGGTTTTAAATTTTGTTATATTAGGATGGCAAGGGACGTTTACCAAACGCTTACCAGGGTAAACGCTTACCAAGTAAGATTACCTCACCGGATGAATATGGCAAGGACCAAGAATCTTACCCGGTAAGAGCGAGACAAGGACCAAGAGTCTTACCCGGTAAGTGAGGGCGACGACTCTTACCATGGTAAGCGCTTACCGGGTAATTTGTTGCATACGATGTCGTTTTGATGGACTAAAATCTTACCTAGTAAGTAAATATTAGTGTTAAATTTTACCGGTAAATGTTTGGTAAACGACCCCTAATATAGTAATTTTGTCCGAGGTAAAAGAAAACCTTTATCTTTGTCCTAATTTGTCAATCTCGTTCCTGTTCCATGTGATATCAAATACGAGACTATCTTTTTATCTGGTCTCATCCTATATAACGTGTTCCCTAAATGAACCAACTGATTGTATGGGTTGTGAAAAATGTAAGCATATGCACATGCCCATGCACTCATTTGGTGTTTATATATCGACACACATGGATTGGTCTGCAAGCACATGGTGGGGAGATATATATATATATATATATATATATATATATATATATATA